CGGGATGAAAAAAAACCCCACCAGAGCGCCCTGCAACTAGCAGATAACGAGCATCTCGCAGACAGAGCTGGAAAGTCCCGAAGTCATAAGCGAGAGAACTAAAAAAGTGCAAGTGTAGTGGCAGAGTCTCATTTTATTAGAGTCAACAAGTTTATGGCACATGGTAATTCCTCTTCTGTGCCCTTTAGGAGCAGTTCGTTACCTCTCTTCCCGAAGCAGCTAAAAGCCCATATGGTTATCCCCTTTCCTGTCTGTGCACCGATTTGCTCAAAAATTATTTACTGAACTGCTTCACATATTTGAGATAAAAATCAGAGGAGTTATTTTCAGTTCACCTCTACTGGAGGGGGTGGCGCAGCTACTGTTCCAGGCAGCCGATGTGACTGAGCAGGTGCTTCTTTTGGGGTTGGGCCCCCCCCTCACCCCAGAATGTGAACAAGGATGTGACAATCTCATAAATCAGCTCCATAAAATGGTTACGGGGGAATTTAAAAAAAAAACAACCAACCAAAAAAAAAAACCCACCAAACAAAAGCACAAAACAAATCCTGTCTTACTTGTGCTATTGTTTTGCAGAACTGTTCCACCATCAGGATGAACTAAACCTGTATCTGGCAGACAACCCAAGTGTATTAAGCCTTCGAGTGCATTTTACCAAGGGTTCAAGAACAGCAGATACAGCTTTCCACTGGCCTCCACATAAGTAACCAAGCCTGGTGTCTGTGTAAGCAGGGCGATGTTGTGAGGCTTCCTAGGATGGAACAGGGATGTCCATAGCACCATGTTCCACTGAGGATCTCCTCACCATGAGTGGGCTTCTTGATTTCTTGGAATAGGCGTGCTGGAACCTTTGGGAGCATGGGAAGTGACAGCGCAGGGGCGCAGTTTGCCATGCTGCACTGTTTCATGAGATGCGAGTCTGACAAAGCTCTACCGTCGCCTTGAATGCATTGTTTAATACAGCTTTAATGGCCTTAGGCTATAAAGGAGTATTTTTTGCTCAGAATGTAATTGGTTAATTTTTAAACCAACCTCTTCACCCACTTTTACTGTGCAACACTTCACACACAACTTGCTTTACTTGGCAAAGAGAGCAGGGGCAACAAAGCTAAAAGGAGTCTCGTCTCATTTCCCTTTCTAATAGTGACTAACGAGACAGACAGACGCGGATGACAATTTAATGACGGCCTGTTTTGCCTGCAGAGGCACATGTCTGTATGCCAAGGTACCCTCACGCTGCAGTTTTCCCCGTTTGCTCACCCTTGTCTCATTCTAGTGCTCTTAAGCCTTGAGGTGTTACTGTAGATGCAACTGTTTTATCAATTCGTTTCCACCTGGCATACTTTGTATTTCAGAAAGTAGCTCAACTGCACCCTCAAAATACTGTGGCTGTTGAGCAGTCCTGTCTGTAACAGCTGAGCATCTTTGTATTAAAAGAGGTTTTTGTGATGACGTTGGATTGGGATATAGAGTAAAAAGCAGCTGGTCAGTTAGTTACACATTTTGAGAGAGATTGATGTTTGAGTTACATTTCAGTAAATGATTGCTAAAGACGTCGTACTAGGAACATATGCAATGATTTTTATTATATAGTTCTACAGAAAGTTACAGAATTCTTTGGGTTCTTTGTAATTTACGGAATTGGTCAAACACAAATGACCAGAACTTGTTATAACATAGGTAACTTTTGTTCTATTCCAGATACGGAATGAAAATTTGCATTTAAAATCTTTGTGAATGTTTTCAGAAATGAATAGGTAACAGTACTAAACTGAAGTCTCTAAAGTTATGAATTCATATATTGCATAGTAGTATGTTTAGGCTTTACTGTGTACTAGCCTTTTGTTGGATTTGTGTACATATTTTACCCATGGGTTTTAATGATAAAGTGTATGACTGCTTTGCATTTAAGTCCTTATGACTTTATGATGTTAAAAAAATAAAGAACAGTAGCAAGGTGTGTGCTGAACATGGTGAGACAAATGATGCTGTGTTACTGGGTGAGCAGTGCTGGTATTACGGCTTTAATCCAGCTCCCCTTGATCAGACCATTAAACGTTTATTGCTTCTGCCACAGCAATGCTTCGCCCCACCCCAGTTACTGGAGTCTGAACTCCAGTGACCCAAAAGAAACCCATACAAAAAAGGCATCAATTAATTCAGAAATGTAAATGACTTTGTATTACTTTATTAAATAGCCAATTCTAAAGAACAGTAAAAAATACGGAAACATGCATCATTTGTTCTTAAAAAACATTGTCCAAAACAGACTGTTAGAAAAAAAATCAAACAAGTTTAGCCCCAATACACCTTCTGCTCTCCACATAAAAGATGTCTGGTAGTTATAAATACTGTTCCATCTCTTTTAGCGAAGTTTAACAATGTATACATTAGTATTTCTATTACAGCCTTTTTCACATTTCTTCTGTAAACATAAATCAATTTTTAAAAATGCCTTGTTAGCAAGCTTAAGGAACTACTGCTTTCCTGTACAGAAAATACAAAGAGGAAGATCCTGGCTTTTTTCTCCCATTCTAATCAGCACTCCATTTATTGAAACATTAAAGATTTCAATTAGTATAAAAATATAACCAGAGAATAAATGTCTGAGAAGATTCAGTATTTGAGTGAGTCTTTGTTAATAACGAGCAAATAAAATGCTACTGACTTCCAACGCTGAAGCTCGTATCTGTACAGCTGCGTCTCTTCTGAGATCCAAGTATCACAGTGCTGTACACAAATGCACTAGTTATCCACCTGAAAAACCCACTTCTTACTTACTAAAAATAATTTAACATTTAACCGAACTAAAAAGCAAGTGCTAAGAGATGGATGTCTGTTCTCTGGAGACATTCAAAGCCCACTGGGATGAGTTCCTGTGTGACCTACTCTGGGTGAGCCTGCTCTGGCAGGGCGCTGGACTAGATGATCTTTTGAGGTCCCTTCCAACCCCTGACATTCTGTGTAACAAGCCAAACCAATGGGCACCTGCTCTTTGGCGGGGCAGGACACAACTGAGTTCTCCAAATATCTGTACAATTCAGCAAGAACAGTATTTATTTAGCAAGAGACCAAATTCATGTCTGCTGTGGGCGAGCTACAGAGCAAAATCAGAATTGTTTC